AGATGCTTCTAGCTAAAAGAATTGAGACTGATCACCATGACTGTCAGAAATTATTACAATGACTGCCAATCGATGGTCAAAAAATATACACGTATATAAACTATTCCATCCGCAAAAAACGCATAATAAAATATGGAATTCTTTGCCTTTCACATTTTGACGAATTTTTTCAATATTCCCAAAGAACTGGGCGAACGCAAGTGTGCTAGATGTTGGCGATGTGCTGCACCGAAAACTGGTTTGCGGTTCCCAGGCCGCGCTCTCTTCTCCAACCCACAACCCTCCTGGTAGGTATGAAAAATTATATAGCATTCACAATAACTGCTAAGGTTGATGTAAAACTTGGGGCCTAATGAAGCATAGTAATGTCATGAACCAAAATAGGCAAGCTTTGATTAAAAATAATACAGTTACTGATATCGCTTGATGTTCAGGAAGGCATCTGCTTTTGCTCGATCGTTGGGAATCATTTTGCAGATATCTTGCCACTGTGGTGGAACACCTTCTTCACAAAATTCTTTTAGACACTGTGTAATAGAAGGCGTTGGAAAACTGTCGCACCAGTGTATTGTCTGCGATATTTAAACAATAATTCAGAAAGATGTAAACGACGAAATGCATCTCATTCCTGCCAAGAATACCAAGACTGTCCGGACAATTAGTGTAGGTAGCCAACCCATTAGTGATGTTACTGGAATGCTCCCACACACACACACCAAGAGCAGGCCCATTCCATCCATATGATACATTTTCTTCCTCCCCCCTCTCCCGTCCTTTTCCTCGGTTCACTTCTCCTGTCCCTCTTCCTCTCCCTTTCCCCCCTCCCTTCTCCCCACCAATCCCTCCCTCCCAAAGTGCCCCTAACCCCTCCCTCCTAAGGTGCCCCCAACCCTCCCTCCTAAGCTGCAAAATTTAATCTTAGGTATTAAAAAATTAGCTTTAAAAAAATCATATGCCAATCCCTGAATTAAATTCTCCAAGTTTATTTTTTTTTTCCATTGTTCCTTAGATATTATTCACTCTTTCCACAGTTTTTTTTTTCAGCCCAAGTAATGGTCATGTCTTTGGATCAATGATACCTGATATGTGCCAGTATTATTGATCTTACCAAAAAAAATAAATGGCCAACGCACGGGCTGCCCGTGCGAAGATGCGTTTTTTGCAGAGTTCCC